TGTGTATTGATCTTGCAGCCCTGCTCTCCTGTAGATTCTATCCTGCGACCTTGCTGAACGTATTAGTTCCAACAGCTTTTTTTGTGGATCCTGTAGGGTTTTCTGCACCGGTGCTTCATTGCAAATAAAGACCGTTTTATCCATCCTGTATTTTTCTGTAGTCCCGATGCCTTTCGTCTCTTTTTCTGGCCACATCACAGTGCCCAGAAACCTTCAGTACCATCTCGGATAGAGGGGTGACTGCCAGCATCTTTGCGTTTTTCCCCGATTATGCAGTGAGACCATCCTGGCTTTCATCACTAGCTATGATGTTACCTGTGTGGTTTTCACAGGCTCATCTGTCAGGTTGAAGGAGTCCTCTAGTTCGCCGAGTGTGGGTAGCAGGATTGATGTTGGGTATTGACTGATGTTCCTACCGCATCAGTTCAGATGAGCATATGGTTTTTCTCTCTTAGCCTGAGAGGATGATGAATTATGTCGATTTTCAAATGTTAAACCACCCTGGCGTTTCTGGGATAATACTTGGCCATGATGTATTGTCCTTTCTATGTGTTGATGGATTCAATTTGCGAAAATTTGTTAATAATTTGTGTATTCATATCCTTAAGGGGATATTGGTCTGTAATTTTATTGTAATAATTCTGCTTGGTTTGGGGATTGCATTTCATTAATTTTTCCATGTGAGTTTGTGCAGAATTGATATATCTTTCTTAAATGTTTGGTAGAATTCAATAGTGAAGCTTTTGTGCCTGGAGGTTTCCTCTGTGGGAAGTTTTTACAATACAAATTGCATTTCATTATTAGATATAGGGCTATTCAGGTTATCTTTTTTTTGAGATAATTTGTGTCTTTCAAGGAATTATTGTCCATTTTGTCCAAGTTTGAAAATTTATTGGTATAAAGTACCCCCTTCTTATCCTTTTAGTTAGTATGTTGAGCCTTCAGGTTTTTTTTTTCTTTTTCTTATCTATTTGGCTAGAGATTTTAAATTTCCTAGAGAAGTAGCTTCTGGCCTCATTAATTTTCTTTACTTTTCTACTTTCTATTTTATTGATTTTACTCAGATCTTTTGTAATTTTCTTTCATCTGCTTACTTTGTGTTTCATTTGCTCCTCTCTTTTCATTTTCTTCAGGTAGAAGCTGAGGTCATTGATTTTAAATCACTTTTCTTTTTTCATATAGGCATTAGTGTTATAAATTTCCCTGTAAATAGTGCTGTGGCTGCAACCTAGAACGTTTTGAACGTTTTGTTTTCATTTTTATTCAATTTAAAACTTTCTGATTTCTTGTTTGGTTTCTTCTTTGACTCACGGATTATTTCGAAGTGGGTTGTTTAGTTCCCAAATATTTGGGGAGTTTCGAGATACTTTTCTCTTATTGATGTTTAATTTGATTTGGGTGGAGAACATTCTCACCCCTGCCTCCCCACCCTGTCCGCTTTGCTGAGATGGAATCGACATGCACTGTAATACCATGCATCGTGATACTTTCACCCATGTATTTGCAGGGACACAATTGTGACGATAAGGCTAGTTAACACCTCCGCCATCTCCCATCATTCCTTTGTCTGACTTCACGCCTTGTGTCTGGGTTTCCCCCTGCTCTGCTGGAGCTCTGGCAATGGGTATAGTCCCCTTGGAAGGGCCTTCAAACGCTCCTCCGGCCGGGCAGCAGATCCGAGGCTTCGGGCCCTCGCTGGCTTTCTGTGTGGCGTTTGTGAGCCGCTTGATGTATTTGACACGAGTGTGACCGCAAAGACGCGTGAGCGGAGCCGTGTGTGGAAGGGCCAGCTGTGTGGGTTCATCTGCACCCCGGGCCGACGGGCCAGACCTGGCGGTCAAACACGAGCCTTGTCCACCTCCGCCCCCGAGTGCATCTTAATGCTGTGCGTGTTTGCCAGCTGGCTGGCACTTGGCCCAAAGGAATTGTCACCGCTGTGTTTTCTCCCCCTCTTCACCCTGTGTCCCTGATGATTTGCTCCCCCTCCCCCAAATACTTCATCGTATATCAGAGAAGTATGCACTTGCTAAAACTAAGCTAAAAATCACGTCATCTTCATCTTTCCCCTGAATTGCATGGTAAGAATTAATGGGCAATACATTTGAGTTGATATTGGGCAATCTGTTGAATAGGCAACAGGTGTACCCAGTTCAAAAGCAAAGCAGTATAAAACGGAACCCTTCGAACGCTCTCGCTCTACCCCTGTCCCCTTTGGTCATTTCTCGCCTCCCCGCCATGGGTCGCCACTCCAATAGTTTCTCACTGCCCTTCGTGTTCCGGGCATGCAGGTACACGCAGGTGTTTCGTCCCTGCCTCTTACTTCCCAATAAATCCCAGAGAGCTTTGGAAAATATTCTTTCTGTAAAAAGGACCGGTAAAGATTCATAGGAAAACGCAGCCTTTCCTGAGCTTGATGGCAACATTGCAACACAGATTTTGATGAAATCCGTGATGGAGTGCAGAGTTGTGCAAGCAAAATCATGGAAATATCGTCAGTTCTTTCTATGTCCCAAACGATGGCTAATGTTGAAAACAGATAAGCCACTTAACCAATGATTTACCTCAACAAAGGGTTGGTGTTAGTAGTACAGGTCCTTCATGGAGGAAAACTGTTCATAGTTTAACTGGTAAGCCGGTGTTATTATAGAGGACAAAATACCTGCAGTCCACACAGAAAGTTTCACTCAGTAAGCAGACTAGAATGTTGTAGTGAAGTGTACTGTTTCAGCTCTCTTAGGTGAACTGGTGACTGTATTCCCACTTCCTTTATTTTTTCTTTATTCATTGCGGATAATTATATAGAAGGCCCGGCAGGAATTTGAGTTCGCCCCGAGGTTGCTCTGGGCTGGCCCGTGGAGGCCGTGGGAGAGAAGGCTGCCCTGCCGGGGCGGGGAGGGGGGCGCCCAGGGCCCCCCGTCCGGGGAGCAGGTTGTCCGCTGCACCGTGACTCAGCTCGCCGGGTCCCGTCTGTGTCCGCCAGGCCACCTGCCCCGACGCAGAGCGAGGCGCACCGTCTCCTCCTTCTTACCCAGGAGCTTCGGGGGTTGACCGTCTGTGTGCGCATTTCATGCCAGTTGCAGTCAAAATCAGTCCTTTCTGCCATTTCCGGTCTTTTTCCTTTAGAAAAGTTCTGTGGTGTATAGATGATTCCTATGTGTATGTGCGTCTGTGTAAACACACATATGCCATTTATATAGCATGGACACACACACACACACACACACACACACACACACAGCATATGTGCTTGAATATAAGCCCAATATTCTTTGAACAACAATCCCTCGGAAGGAGGGCGTCACCTAATAGGTATTTGATTCCTCAGAAAGGACTTTATCACCTGGGGTCCTTCCTTACTTTGTGTGAGCAGCACGGTGCCCTAGGTTCGCCCACTATCCAAAAGAAGAGCGTTCCCGTGAAACCCTCTGCAAGCTGAAATGGTGTAAAGTGAAGAAGCAATTACACTAATTTATATGGAAACATTTTGGAGCATTCCCAGACCCCCCAAATAATCGACTGAATCATACCCAATGACACACAAAACCTGAAGTAACCCTAGTGCGTAGTGAAAGGAGGAGTGATATGATAGACACCCAGCCTGTATACAGTGGAAATAATGTAAGTACAGTACAGCCTCACTTATTGAAAAGACTGACTTCTGTCCTTCAATATAAGATAACAGAACACCACACTGTGCACACCCATCCATCCACTCGAGCAACGAATGGACTTTGTATTTTATCCATTACCGGACGCTGACTGAGAGAGACCACTTTGCTACTGGTAGAACCATTAGTAACTTTGGCAGCCTTCAGGACCCTTGCTCTCTGCATGAAAATAGCACAATGGTGAATGCAGGCAAGTTCAATGCACAGACAATGTCATTATTTCGTTCACCGCAATAAAAATGCTAACTACATTCAGTTCTCTGCTAAGCGTAATGCCCTGACGAGCCGTCTTAGGCGTCTCTGATACCTTGGGCACATCTTGCCAACAGAGGCACGAAGTCACTCGAGATAAAGCAAGGATGCTCAGAGGCAGTTCAAGGTTAAGGTGGCTTGATGCCGAGCTGCTGAGTGAGGTTCCCGGGGAAGGAGCCTGCTGGGGCCCTCTCCCTGTGCGGTGCCGCTACTTCCGTAACAGCTCACTGCAGAGCAGGTGCTGAACGGTCGTTTCATTTTCTTTTGGAAAAACAAAATACGCTTTGGATTTGTTTTCATTGGCGAAAACAGGCGCTATGGTCGTAGGCCTTTGTAGACGTGAAGTGTCGTAACGCGAACCTTTGGAAAGTGGGGGAAACCTGTGTCTGGGAAGACACTGTGCTCTGAAATGTCTTCAGACAGTGCAGGCCGCCGCCGCCGCTTAGAAAGGTTTCTTCACAAAATGGGAAAAGAAAAGAAGCAAAGGTGCTTCACACAGATTTGGCAATTATTCTAGAGGTGAAAGATCACTTTTAAAAAGTAGTTACGTCAGTGGGTATGACAGCCAATAAAAATCTGCAGGATGAATAAATGTTCCAAAAGCCCTGCTGTCGTGCACGTGGACGCCCGGAGCTCGGTCCGGTGTTTGCAGGGGTGGTGCCGTGGAGGGTTCAGATGCTGCCGTGGCTCCAGCGGATTGTGCAGACAGGAAGCGTTGCCCTGGAAACTGGGACTCAGGTTGAGTCTGGATGACTCAAAAGGAGACTCGCGATGAAAAGGGCCCCGATGTTGAAGATACACGTCAGGAGTTGGTTAACTTGTTCCACGAAATGTGACAGTGAACAAAATCATTATTTCTAAATGAATGCTTTAGACAATGTATGATTTAAGTGTACGTCATTAAATGACTACACTTTATAATTGGCATTCAACTAGTTTCTGTCTAAAGTACAGACTTTCAAGTGGGCAAAAATTCTTGTTGTTTTGGTACTCTCTCTCTTATGGGACAAATAAGGGATTGTCTTATATTTTGGGCCACTTTAGAGTCAGCCACCTATAATAATTATTCTTTTTATACAGAAACTGAGGCTTCTTGAGGAGCTCGAAGACACTTGGCTTCCTTATCTGACCCCCAAAGATGATGAATTCTATCAGCAGGTAAGGCCTTTTGATACCTTTATCAGTTTGTAGCAATTTGTTCTGATCCACCTAAGTTTCCCTGCGAAGCCCCTGCCGTCTAGAGAGGTCGAAGGGGACGTGACAGGGTCTGACTCGGTCGTCTCGTGACTCCCTGTCGCCCACAGAAGAAGGACACCCCTGACTTCGCAACCAGCTTTCCGCTGTGAGTTCTGTGCTTCGGCTCAGGGGCCCAGAGTTCCCCCCTTCCTTGCTTCTGCTCGTGCTGTTTCTTCCGCATCAAACGTCCACTTGCCAGACGGCTCGTTCCTCAAGACTTCCCGTAAACATCGCCTCCTTGGTGAGAGGTGCCTCGACCGCCCTCTCCTCCGTGCCGCTGGCCCCCTCGGCAGCACCTCTGCCGTCCCGGTCACACGGCGTTGCCGTTGCGGGGTTCTGCGTCTCTCTCCCGGGGTTAGTCGGAACTCTCTCCATCACGAAGGACAAAACCCCAGAGAAACTCAGTGTGGGGGAAAAGGGGATTTATCGACCTGCCCGAGATGTCTAGGAGCACCAGCTTCCCCAAGGATATCTATGGTTTGAGCACTGTTTGTCTCTGTTTCGTGGGTTGGCTCTCCTCCACGGGACTCCCTGCAGGGGGCGCTCTGCCTGGCGGCAGAACAGGGGTCTGACAGCCCACGGGGGATGGGGTCTTAAGCATGCGGGGTCTCAGAAGAGCACAGTGATTTCTTTTCTCCCGGTTCTATTCGATTCTCCCGGCACTGGTCTCAGCGGCCCGTTTAGACTCACAGGCTCATCCCCGAAGCAGCCTTTGTCTTTAGGGGCGTGAGGCGCCCCCCTGTGCCTCGCCCGGTCTGTGGCCCCACACTCGACGTAGGGTGGGACGTGAGCAGGCCCCCTCACACTGCGTCAACTGTGGGTCAGGGGCGGATGGCTTTCCCCAAGGAGAACCATCCTTTGGGGTCCCGTTCCCCCCAAGAAGGAGGGGGAGGCTGGCTGAGCAGGCAAAAACAGTACACGGTCATCGTTCTTGCCAACGAGAATGTAAACTCTCGGGGCCCGAGAACCGGGGCCTGAGAACCGGGCCACAGCGTCTCCGGGTCGGCGGCAGCCGGCTCGCACTTTTGTAGCAGGTGCTCAGTCTCCATGGCAGGAAGAGAGGAAGGGAGTCCCCCCAGCTAGAGTCCGGGTGTCCTTCTTCCCAGTTCACTGCCCACCCCTGACGCTGTCTCTCACCTCTATTCGCATCGGGTCTCTGCTGTCTTCCATCCCCTGGGCCCTTGGATGGTTGCCCTCGGTTTCCTCTTCGCCCCTCTTCCTTAACCCTTGAAGCGACAGTACATTTTCTTCTTGCAATCGAATGTTTCAGTTTCAGCGTACACCCCATATTACTTTGTATTGGTTTCAGGTGTGCAGTGCCTTTTCTCACCAAGACGTAACTCGGAGCATGCCGGCCCCCACCCGGCCCCCGAGTTTCCAGCCCCACCCCCCGCCCCAGTCACCTTTTTGCAGTGCCTCCGACTGGCTGTGCAGTCTCGGAGCATGGGCCTCCCTGCTGCACCCTCTGCTGACATGCCTCTTTCTTCTTTGCTCCAGGAACTGGCGCGTCATCTGTTCGTCACAGCCCACCTGTCACTTCCTGTAGGGCGCTTGCCTGCCGTTTCTGCAGCCCAGGGAGCTGTCTCTGCTCCCCGTCGTGCATGCCTTTATTAATCCTTCTCTGAGTTTATCATAGCGGTTTTCTTAATTCTACGTCTGTCTCCCTCATCCTCTGTACTACGTACGGTGCCTGGCACCTGGTAGGTGTTTAATTAGTTTGCTTGAGTGGATGAAGGAAAGAACGCACACAGTTTATTTAAAAAACCAGTTCTGTCATAATGGGTAGCGTGACTTGAATTTTGTTTTTGCACACACACACTGCTCTCCAGGGAGACGGCGTCTGGAGAGATTTGCAGGACTTCTGCAGAGATGTTACCTCCCAGAGTACGCCACGCGCTGGCGGATAAGGGCAAACTCAAATGCAAACAGAACAGCGCTCAAGGCCTCTCTTTTAGCTTTCTACTACAAACCCAATGCCAGGGTCTAATCACTTTAAGTGCACCTCCTCAGAAGGCTTAGTGCGTCCACCAGACCTTAGGAAAGTGGATCTGTTCTCTTAAAAGGAAAGGAGAAAATATGTTTTTTTAAAAAGATTTTATTTATTTTTAGAGAGGGAAGTGGGGAGAAAGAGAGAGAGAGAGAGAAACATCAATGTGTGGTTGCTGGGGGTCGTGGCCTGCAACCCAGGCATGTGCCCTGACTGGGAATTGAACTTGGGACACTTTGGTTTGCAGCCTGCGCTCAATCCACTGAGCTACACCAGCCAGGGCAGAAAACACTGTTTAATGGCATGGACACATAGACAGTTCAGCCCTGTCTGGTCACTGAAACAGGCCCTGGCCACGGGAATGCCAGCCCAGCTGCCAGTCAAATAAGACTTGGCGGGTCTGTTTAGTGACCCTCCCAGTGAGCCAGGGACTGTGCTTCGTGTCTTAAAAAAAAAAAAGAAGAAAAACTGAGGCCCAGAGAAGTTTAAAGCGTTCTTCAAGATTTATAAGCGAGCAGCGCCAAGACCAGGATTTGAGCCCAGGCTGGCAGGTTCTGGGGTCTGAACTCGGAACCCCTCTGCCTCCGCCCCCTCATCTCCTGGGGCTCCGGGGCTGTCTGTGCGGAATTCCCTCCCCACCACCGCCTGCCCCCACCCTCCCAGCTCCGTTCCAGGTGTGTCCTGGGTGGCTCCCCTTGATCCACATTCATTAATGACTTACTTAAACAATTGTAGCTAGCTCCCCCTGCCTGTACCAGGTAATGTTATTGGCACTAAAGACGAAGGCGCAAAGAACAGCAAAAGATTCCTGTCCTCTTTGAGCTTATTTCTTGAGGGGCAGGGAGGAGAAAGGGAGTAGAAACTTTTTTTTTAAAGTGAAAAGGAAAAGAAAAAGAAAAATGTCAGAGGGAAGCTGGAGATGAAAAAAAGCAGGTGAGCAGGGTAGGGAATACCGGGCCAGTGGGGGGCTGCACGTAGCGCAGTTCGGAAGGCCTCCTGGGGGGGGGCTTGAACACAGAGCCCGCGGAGGTGTGGGAACCAGCCGTGCAGCACCTGTGGGAAGAACGTTCTGGAAACAGGGAAGAGCAGAGCCCCCAAGGCATGTTTGAGGACAGACAGCACCCCGGGCGACCGTACCCGGAGCCAAGCAAGAGCTGGGAGAGTAGAGAGAGATGGGATCTCAGAGCAGTGGCCAGACTCTGCAGGAACCAGCTCTCTGACTAGAGTGCCGGCCGTGACCCCGAGGGAGGGGACGGGCAGGCACGGGAGGGTCCGGAGCACAGGGGCGGCGGGACCTGACCTGCCTTTTCCTACAGCTCCTCTCGACAAGAGCCTCGCTGTTCGTTTCCTCCTCCCGGGGCTGGTTCCTTGTCTTATTCTTCAAGTTCAAACCTCGCTGTCCTCGACGTCTGCCCAGGACTTCCACCCTCCTCATTCAGGCTCTGGGCCCCCGGCTGTTCCGAGTCTTCACAACCCCCCCTCCCCACCCCACCCCAGCCCGGGTTGTTTCCTCTTGCCAATGCCACCCACCGATCTCAGGTTAGCCCCTCAGCTACCTGCTTCCACCAACACAGCTTTATCCCTCTCCTCCTTGGTGCCCCGCGGGCCCTCCCCAGTGCCTGTGAGTGTGCCTGACCTCTCCCTCCTTGCTTCGTACAGGTGGCTGGGTCTCTCTGGCCCTCAGGTCAAGTTCAAACTCCTCAGCATATCCTGAGGTCATCGACTCGATGCCCTCAGACTACCTCTCTGATCTAATCCCTGCCTGTCTCCCGCCACCGTGTCCAACCTTGAACTATCACACAGAGTTTCCCGCCACCCCTGAGCCTGCCGGGCCCTCTGTCCCTCGCGCTGCTGTGCCTGTGACGATTTCCGAATCCCCTTTTCTGTCTGCCGAGCACCTCCTGACCCTTGCAGACCTTGCTTAACTACTACCTCTTGTGTGGAGTTGCCGGGAGATCCCGCTTGTTTGACTTCCAGAAATGATGAGTCTGACCACTTCTCGTTTCCTCTGCCCCGTACCCAGTAGCCAAAGCCCCTATCATCTTTTTCTCCTAGGGTGGCATCGACCCCCTAACCTCTCCCCTCGCCCCCGACCTTCAGTCTGTTTTAACACAGCATCTCTAGTGCTCTTTCTAAAACGTAAATCAGCTCCTGACCCTTTCTTGCTGGCCCTTAGGTAGACTCCCTTCTTGTTTGGAGTAAGAGCCCGTGACCTTCCATTCACCTACAAAGCCCTGCAGGCCTGGCTGCTGACCGCTGCTGTCCCCACACTTCCTGCTGCTTCTCCTGTCCTCTCCCCCATTCTCGCACCCTCCCCCCCTCCCCCCCCAACCTCTGGCAGCCTTGCTCTGCCCGGAATAAACCACGCAGGCTTCTACCCCGAGGCCTTCGCACTTAGTGTTCCCTCAGCCGGAACTCTCTCCCTGCCCCAGGTCATCTGCCAGGGCTGGTACCCTAGTGTCTCGCATTCCCGTGTGAGGTGTCTCCCCCAGAGCAGCCTTCACCCCTGCACTCCTGCCGACTTGATTGGCGTTGTGTTTCCCCATAGCACTTGGTTCAGTCTCAGACACTATGTATTTCACCAGGTAGACAAGCACAGACTAAATAATTAAGTAAAATACCGTATACGTAGTGAGCTGTACATACCGTGTATTTGTGCACTGTGCCTATAAACACGAGCTCTCAGGGAGCGCCGTATGGAAGGTTTGCTCGCTCTGTCTTCCCAAGACCTAGTGCTGGGCACCTAGGACGTGCTTGATAAACATGAGTTCAGTAAACGAAGGTTTCCCAGATCCCCTTCCCAATGATCTCCTGCCCCCAAAGCAGTGCATTCGTGCTTCTACTGTGGCGTCTTTTCCTGACGCTGGGTTCATATTTCTGTCTGTCTTGTTAAACTGTGACACGCTGCAGAAGAAGGCCTCCTGATGACAGTGTG